CTAGTCGTATGTCATTGTGGGAATAATGATGTAATAAGACTAGTATGATGTGTGATTGATGATCATAGAGATGATCATAGGTATTGGATACGATCACAATCATAGGTATTCGTTGGAGAACGAAATACCGGATTGACCCACATGAGATTGTCACATGGACTAGCGTCATGACTTGAATCTCATATGACGGTTCCATGATTGGATCCTAAGACTTGAGATATCTACGGAATTCGACATGAGGAGTTACATGCTTTGAATACGTCAAACATTCTGCGTAATAGGAGAACTATAAAGGCATGTATCAGGTAGGACACGAATCATGTACTGGATTGTAGATAGGTAGTCATAGTGTCTTGCTAGAGACCGCCTATGACTTTTATATCCGAAATAGAGATTTCGGGTTATACTGCTATATCGAATGAGCCTACAGGGTCACACACGTAGGGAAGGACAACACGAGAAAACGACGAAAAACCGAGATGGAATGGGCTGGAACAAACGGACCGAAAGGGCCAGACCCGACGGTCTGCCAGGTCCAGACCCGACGGTCCGCCAGGTCCAGACCCGACGGTCCACAGAAGGCAGACTGTCCGTTCTGGCTTGTCTGGAATGAACATTCCATGTAGGCAGACCGTCCGTTCTGGGTCCACGTGGGCTTGCTGGAATGGACGATCCATGTGCATTTCTGGACCGTCCGTTTCGGCTTTCGAGTTTTTCGAAAATTAGACCGAAATTAGGGTTAAATCACCTTATTAGAAGGAGATTAAAACCCTAATTAAATTGAGACTTTTTGAGCCGTCTTTGGCAGAACTTTGAGAGCTTTTGGTGAGATCCAAAGCGTTCAAGGAGTTCTAAGTCTCGTTTTCTCGAAGCGATATACCGAATAGCAGATTCGGGTCCTGGCAGACAAGTTCCAATCGTTGGAATCCATCCTGAGGAGTGGATACGTGTAGAGGCGAGGTAATCTTCTTGCCTTGAGTAATCGGACGAACGGATCAATTGAAACATCCCCGGATCGATTGAGGTAAGCGTTCTAACGTTTCTACGTAAGCATGCATGCATGGTTCTAGGGTTTCTTCAAAATTTTTGTTTTATATCCGCTGCGCAAACCCTAGAATCGATCTCTTAGGAATAGGATTCGCTCATGAGATCCCAGGAAAACCCAACAGACCCGACGGACCAGAAGGGCCAGACCCGACGGTCTATCAGGTCCAGACCCGAGTGACCAGAAAGGCTAGACTCGACGGTCCAGCAGGTCCAGACCCGACGGTCCAGAGGCTGTAGTACGTCCGGTCTCTGGAACGGATGGTCCACGTGTAAATCTGGACCGTCTGTTCCAGCTTTCGGGTTTTTCGAAAATAAAGCGAAATTAGGGTTATTCACTTTATAAGAAGGAGATTAAGAACCCTAATTAAAGTGAGCCAAAAAAGTGAACTTCTATAGACCTCTTTGTGAGCTTTTAGGGTCTAAGAAGAGATCTAAATCCAATTTTCTCATAGCACATTACCGATTAGTAGATTCGGGTCCTAGCAGATAAGTTCCAATCGTTGGAATCCATCCCGAGGTGTGGATACGTGTAGAGGGCGAGGTAATCTTCCTCCCTTTTGTGATCGGACGAACACATCGATTAATATAGGCTCCGGATCGATTGAGGTAAGCGTTCTAACGTTTCTACGATTCATACATGCATTATTCTAGGGTTTTATAGAAATTTTTGTTTTACATCCACTGCGCAAACCCTAGAATCGATCTTTTAGCAATTAGATTCGCTTTAGAGATCCCATAAATTCCCAACATTATTCACATTGGGAAATGAATTAACTTGCTTAGGGTTCATGATAGAGAATATTAATGCATCTAGAGATCATTTAGACTATTGGGAGATAGGTAAATCGATTCTTTAGGTAGTGAGTTTAAGCTCGGGAGAGACAAACCCTAAAATGAAGTGCTTGAAATCACGTTTGGAAGATAAACCCGTAGATATTGTAGCATCATCAACCGTCCATATAATTATTGAGGGATCCCGAATTTACAACGCCTAGAATCATTGTTTTTAACCCCGTTGATTTTATTTGCTTGCTTTCATCCCGATACCTACCATCACCTTATTTTTACTCGATCACCAATCTAGCTTAAAGATAGACTGATTCATTCTAGTCCTCGTGTTCGACCCCGGTACTACAACTACCGTATACGTGCAGATAGTGGTACGAATCAGGTACTAAATGTAAGACTCGGTGTGTGCGCATCAAGTTTTTGGCGCCGTTGCCGGAGACTAGGCGTTTTTCGTGTTAGTCTAGATTTTTGCTAGATCACCATTGCTTGGATTCTTGTTTGGATTACTTTGTGACATAACCTTTTCGCACCACTTTCAGTCCGTTTCGTTTCTTTGGTGCGCAGCTCTTCCGGTGCATGACAAGAAACACAACCGGCAGAGATCAACTCGTCTTCGACCCAAATTGAAAGAACCCTACGCTTCGCTCGGAAACAGCAAAGACAGTGGGGGATGGCCAAAGAATTTCTGAGAGGAAACAACGCCCGAAGAGATCAACCCGAAATGGCCGAAGAGTTGTTGAGAGGGGTGAATGCCCAAAGAGTCCAGCCCAAGCAGCCCCTAGAACGCTTCGAACTACACAGAACCGAAGCATACTCAGTTACTATCATGCATCAACAAGGAGCCGTTGGAAGATTTCGAACTCTTACCTCAATGCATTCAAATGCTCTACAACCTGAGTTTCCGTGGAAAACCCAACGAGGATCCGAACGCTCACCCTACAAATTTCAAGATGAATTGTAAGGCAATCAAGAAGGGACCGGGGATAACCACAGAAGATGTGCTCCTTGAAACTTTCCCCTACCCACTTACGGAGAGAGCTAGAGTTTAGTTCTACACTCTTGAGCCAAATTCCATCTCGTCATGGGATGAGATGGAAGAGCAGTTCCTTATGCAATACTACTCCCCTATCAAGACTCAACATGCGAGGAATCGGATCAATGCCTTTGTGCAAGAGGATGGGGAGAATCTTCACGACGCATGGGAACGATTCAAAGAATATCAAAGAATGTGCCCTCACCATGGAATGGAAAGAGACTAC